CAGTGCTCCCCAGTCCCTCCCAGTGCCACCCATTCCCTCCCAGTGCCCCCCAGTGCCCCCGTGCCCACCCAGGCTCTTGAGCAGCAGCACCAGTGCCCCCAGGTCGGCTCTCTGGATCTCGGGCACCGCCGTCTCCTCCAGCTCGTGCTGGAACGCCCAGGCCGTGTAGAGCCGGAAGCACTTCCCGGGCGCCACGCGGCCCGCGCGGCCCGCGCGCTGGTTGGCCGAGGCCTGGGGACAGCAGGGACACCTGTGACACCTGGCTGGGGACACCTGGGACACCTGGGACACCCTGGGACACCTGTGACACCTGGCAGGGTCACCAATGTCACCTGTAACCCACTGAGACACCAGTGACACACAGCCCACGCTGATTGGCCGAGGCCTGGGGACAGCAGGGACACCTGTGACACCTGTGACACCTGGCTGGGGACACCTGGGACACCTGTGACACCTGTAACACCTGTGACACCTGGCTGGGGACACCTGGGACACGGGGGACACCCTGGGACACCAGTGACACACAGCCCGCGTGCTGATTGGCCGAGGCCTGGGGACAGCAGGGACACCTGTGACACCTGGGACACCTGGCACCTGGCTGGGGACACCTGGGACACCTGGGACAGCTGACACCTGGCAGGGTCACCAATGTCACCTGTAACCCACTGAGACACCAGTGACACACAGCCCACGCTGATTGGCCGAGGCCTGGGGACAGCAGGGACACCTGTGACACCTGTGACCTGACTGGCATGTGGCACTGTCACCTGTCACCCGCCCAGGACACGCTGCGGACACAGCAGAGATGTGTAAAAACACAGGGGTGTAACAACAAGTGACAGTAAGGTGACACAGGTGACAATAAGTGACCCATGGCTCACCTTGGAGCAGGGGGTCACCACCAGGGACTCCATGCCCGTGCTGGGGGGCTCACAGGGGCTCACAGCAGGTGACAATGAGGTGACAATAGATGACATTAAGGTGACAATGGATGGCAGTAAGGTGACACAGGTGACAGTAAGGTGGCACAGGTGGGCTCACCTTGGAGCAGGGGGTCACCACCAGGGACTCCATGCCCGTGCGGGCGCTGTAGCTCTTCTGCTTGCAGAAGCCCGGGTCCAGCACGTACACGATGCCGTCGATCGTCACCGATGTCTCGGCGATGTTGGTGGCCACCACCACCTGCGCCGGGGGCGGGGACACGCTGGGACACGCCCTCGCAGGCCCCGCCCCTCCCGGCCACACCCAGATAAGCCACGCCCCATTTAAAGCTCGTGCTGTTAAGCCCTGCCCACTTGGAGCTCCACCCAATCATGGTCTACGCTGTGGGCCACACCCAATAAAGCCACACCCCTTTATGCACCACCCATTCTGACCACACCCAATAAAGCCACACCCCTTTAGGCTCCGCCCATTCTGACCACACCCAAGAAAGCCACACCCATTCTGACCACACCCAACAAAACCACGCCCCTTTAGACTCCGCCTATTCTAACCACACCCAGTTAAGCCCCACCCACTCTGACCACACCCAATTAAGCCCCACCCACTTGCATGAAGACACACACCCCCTCAGGCTCCACCCCCTCTCTTAAAGGACTAGCACACCTTCCTGGCTCTATAAATTATCCTCACCCCATTTCCCTTAAACCACACCCCTTTTCCAAAATGCCCCGCCCCCTCCCGGGGCCCCGCCTCCTCTTAAAGGGCCAGCACACCTTCCTGGCTCCATAAATGAACCTCACCCCATTTCCCTTAAACCACACCCCTTTTCCACTGTGCCCCGCCCCCTCCCGAGGCCCCGCCCCCTCTTAAAGGGCCAGCGCACCTTCCTGGCGCCGGGGGGCGTGGGCTGGAAGATGCGGGCCTGCAGCTCCGAGGGCAGGTTGGCGTAGATGGGCAGCACCAGCAGCTCGGGCAGGCGCGAGCCCAGGCGGCGACAGCGCTCCTGCAGCAGCTCCACGCAGGCCTCGATCTCCTCCTGCCACCCCCGGGGACATTGGGGACATCACTGGGGACATCACTGGGGACATCAGGGATATCGGGGACACCCTGGGGATTGGGGACACCCGGGGGATTGGGGACATCAGGGACACTGGGGACAGGGGCAGCTCCAGCAGCGCTCCTGCAGCAGCTCCACGCAGGCCTCGATCTCCTCCTGCCACCCCCGGGGACATTGGGGACATCACTGGGGACATCGGGGACACCCAGGGGATTGGGGACACCCAGGGGATTGGGGACATTGTGGATGTTGGGGACATCAGGGGACACAGAGGGACAAAGACTGGTAGCAGGAAATTTGGGCTGGGGACAGAGGAGCTCTCAGGGGAACAGGGACACCTGGAGGGATGGGGACAGCAGGGGGACACGGTGACACTCAGGGACACCGAGGTGACACCCAGGTGACACTGACCTGGCCGGTGAGGAAGACCAGGATGTCCCCGGGGGGTTGGGTGACGTGGATCTGCAGCACCGACACCACGCAGGCCTCCAGGTAATCGGCCTCGGGCGCCTGCGGGGACAGCGGGGGACACGGGGACATCAGGGGACAGCAGGGGACAGCAGGGGACAGCGGGGGACACGGGGACATCAGGGGACAGCAGGGGACAGCGGGGGACACGGGGACATCAGGGGACAGCGGGGGACAGCGGGAGACACGGGGACATCAGGGGACAGCAGGGGACAGCAGGGGACATCAGGGGACAGCAGGGGACAGCGGGGGACAGCGGGGGACACGGGGCCAGCAGCACCTGCTGTCCCCAAAGGTCCCCAGCCATCCCCCTTCTCCTGTGTCCCCTCGTGTCCCCAAACGCTCCCAACAGCCCACAGCCCCAGGTGCCCCTGAGCACCCCCAGTGTCCCCATTAATGTCCCCATTAATGTCCCCAAGTCCTCAGAGCCCTGAGCACCCCCAGTGTCCCCACTAGTGTCCCCATGTCCCCAATTCCCTGCATGTCCTCAATGCCCTGAATGTCCCCAACGTCCCCCATGTCCCCAGTGTCACCTTGGCGTAGCAGATGTCCAAGGGGAAGCGCTGCCCCGGGATGACCAGCTGTCCCCATGTCCCTATGTCCCCAATGTCCTGAACACCCCCAATGTCCCCAATGTCCCCAGCTGTCCCCAATTTCCCCAATGTCTCAGATGTCCCCAGTGTCCCCAGTGTCTCCCATGTCCCCGGTGTCACCAGTGTCCCTGATGTCCCCAGTGTCCCCAATGTCCCCAATGTCCCCAGTGTCCCCAGTGTCCCCGATGTCCCCATGTCCCCAATGTCCCCAGTGTCCCCGTGTCCCCGTGCCACCTTGGTGTAGTAGATGTCCACCGGGAAGCGCCGCCCCGGGATGCGGAAGACGGGCGCGTGGTCGAAGAAGGCCGAGAAGCGCTCGGTGTCCAGCGTGGCCGAGGCCACCAGCACCTTGAGCTGCGGCCGGAAGCGCGCGATGTCCTTGATGAGGCCGAAGAGCACGTCCGTGTGCAGCGTGCGCTCGTGAGCCTCGTCCACCATGATCACGCTGCCGGGGGACACGGGGACGTGGGCACGGGGACACGGGGACAGGGACATGGGGATGGGGACAGAGAGACATGTACATGGGGACATGGACGGGGACATGGGGACACAGACATGGGGACAACGAGGACAGGGACACAGGGATGGACATGGGGATGGACATGGGGACAGGAACAGGGGAATAGGGACAGAGACAGGGGGATGGCCGTGGGGACAGGGAGAAAACATGTCCCAGTGTCCCCTGGCTCAGCGTCCTGGGGACAGCGACATGGGGACAGTGACAGGGAAAGGGACAGGGACATGGGGATGGGGACAGGGACAGGGGGACAGCGTCCTGGGGACAGGGACACAGGGACAGGGGGACAGGGACAGGGACAGGGGGACAGCGTCCTGGGGACAGCGACATGGGGACAGTGACAGGGAAAGGGACAGGGACATGGGGATGGGGACAGGGACAGGGGGACAGCGTCCTGGGGACAGGGACACAGGGACAGGGGGACAGGGACAGGGACAGGGGGACAGCGTCCTGGGGACAGCGACATGGGGACAGTGACAGGGAAAGGGACAGGGACATGGGGATGGGGACAGGGACAGGGGGACAGCGTCCTGGGGACAGGGACACAGGGACAGGGGGACAGGGACAGGGACAGGGGGACAGCGTCCTGGGGACAGCGACATGGGGACAGTGACAGGGAAAGGGACAGGGACATGGGGATGGGGACAGGGACAGGGGGACAGCGTCCTGGGGACAGGGACACAGGGACAGGGGGACAGGGACAGGGACAGGGGGACAGCGTCCTGGGGACAGCGACATGGGGACAGTGACAGGGAAAGGGACAGGGACATGGGGATGGGGACAGGGACAGGGGGACAGCGTCCTGGGGACAGGGACACAGGGACAGGGGGACAGGGACAGGGACAGGGGGACAGCGTCCTGGGGACAGCGACATGGGGACAGTGACAGGGAAAGGGACAGGGACATGGGGATGGGGACAGGGACAGGGGGACAGCGTCCTGGGGACAGGGACACAGGGACAGGGGGACAGGGACAGGGACAGGGGGACAGCGTCCTGGGGACAGCGACATGGGGACAGGGACAGGGAAGGGGACAGGGACATGGGGATGGGGACAGGGACACAGGGATGGGGACGTGGGGACATGGATGGGGACAGGGACGTGGGGACGGGGACACGGGGACAGGGACATGGGGATGGGGACAGAGAGACATGTACATGGGGACATGGACGGGGACATGGGGACACAGACATGGGGACAACGAGGACAGGGACACAGGGATGGACATGGGGATGGACATGGGGACAGGAACAGGGGAATAGGGACAGAGACAGGGGGATGGCCGTGGGGACAGGGAGAAAACATGTCCCAGTGTCCCCTGGCTGTCCCTGTTCTCTGTGTCCCCAGGTGTCCCCAGTGTCCCCAGTGTCCCCTGGCTGTCCCCCAGGTGTCCCCAGTGTCCCCATGTCACCTGTAGGAGGCCAGGTCGGGCTCTGTCAGGAACTCTCTCAGCAGCATCCCGTCCGTCATGTACTTGAGCACCGTGCGCTCCGACGTGCAGTCCTCGAAGCGGATGCTGTACCCCACCTTGGGGACAAGGACACGGCCCTGTCACCCTCCTGGGGCTGCTGCCACCTCCCCGGGGCTGCTGTCACCTTCCCTGGGATGCTGTCACCCTCCCTGGAGCTGCTGTCACCCCCCTGGGGCCCAGTATAAACCAGTCCAAACCAGTCCAAACCAGTATAAACCAGTCCCCCCCAGTCCCTCCCAGTATAAGCCAGTCCAAACCAGTATAAACCAGTCCAAACCAACCCAGACCAGTATAAACCAGTCCAAACCAGTATAAACCAGTCCCCCCCAGTCCCCCCCAGCCCCCCCAGCTCACCTCCTCGTGCAGGTACTGGGGGATCTGGGTGGTTTTCCCCGAGCCCGTCTCGCCCTCGATCACCAGCACCTGGTGCTGGGCCACGGCCGCCACCAGCTCGTCACGGAACGGGAAGATGGGCAGGGCCCGGCGGGCGTCCTGCAGTGACTGCCGGCGGCGCTCGGCCTCGGGGACGGCCTCGGGGACATCCTGGGGACACCGGGGACACCCCATGGTCATTGGTGTCACCCTCAGTGTCACCAAATTCACCCCAAATTCACCCCAATCCCACCAGTAACCACCCACTGTCCCCATTGCTGGTGGTGCTTGGCCTCGGGGACATCTTGGGGACACCGGGGACACCCCATGGTCATTGGTGTCACCCTCAGTGTCACCAAATTCACCCCAAATTCACCCCAATCCCACCAGTAACCACCCACTGCCGGCGGCGCTCGACCTCGGGGTCGGCCTTGGGGACGTCCTGGGGACACGTCAGTGCCATCAGTGTCACCTCAGTGTCACCCTCAATGTCACCAAATTCATCTCAATCCCACCAGTAACCACCCACTGTCCCCAGTGCTGGTGGTGTTTGGCCTTGGGGACACCCTGGGGACACCTCAGGGTCACTTTGGTCACCCATAGGGCCACCAAATTCACCCTAAATCCCCCCCAAATCCCTTCTCATAACCCCAAACCACCCCAAATCCCCCCCCAGGACCCCCTGGCTGACCCCAAACCCCACCTTTTGGGGGTCG